GCTTGGCCTCCCCACCATGGACCCAGTTACTTCCTGGGAATCACTTAATGGCTCCTGGCCCCTAAATAACTCTCTGTGCTTCACTACTAACAACACATCCTCATGCATTGGGCTGTTCACCCTGACCAATGAAGATTATGCCGGCAATGGCTCCTCCGGTTATGTGCTTAAACTCAAGGGCCTTTCCCCTACCTTCAACAACACTGATGTATCTTCGGTCCTCGCTGCACTGGGGGCAATCAGGCAGGGGGAGTGGAGGGGGCTGCCACTCCCTGCCCCCATTTTGACCTGCTATTCTATGCCCACCACTACCCAACTGTCTATGCACACGCTCTCTTACACCATTTTTCCTCATGCTCCCCATACCATGGCAGAGATGCCTCCCTAAGTCCAATCATGCCATCCCTCCATTCTGCTACTTCAGTTGCTCCCCCTCTCATCACCCCCTAGGATCTTGGAGACAGCTGGCCACCACCTATCTCTGCAGCATTAAGATCTCCCATACCAAGCGCAAGTCAGTACTCAGTAACTGGGACCTCTGTGGCCCTCACGCTTGCATGGACATGAGGTTGTTACTAGCACAGCAGGGCCTTCAGCTTTCCAACGGCACTTACACTAACACTAATCCCTCTACCTGTGCCAAAAACACAGTCCTTACATCCATTGATCACACAGCATCCTGGCCCCCTACCCCCATTTTTGTGCAGCCCCCATTTGCCTTATTGATAGCTAATGTTACGTCCGACCCTCAGGGACAACTCAATTGCCCTGATACCAACACCACCTGTATACTGGCAGCCTGCTGGAACTCACATAGTTCTCTTTATGCGTGAACCCACGGCCCTTTGGGTTCCAGTCACCAATGCAACCCACTTCCATGCTGTCACCCTTATAGAGTGGACAGTCTTGTCACAGGCCTCCCACATAAACAGGATTTTGGGGTCACTGTGGCGCTCATCTCAGCCATCATCCTTGCATTAGGTGCAGCTGCCAGCGCTGCGGTGGCTATTACCCAATCCTCCACTACTGTGGAGACACTCAGTGAGGTTGTGTCTAAAGCCTCCTCCACCTTTCACAATAAGTCCCTTATCAATCAGCATCTTCATGAGGTGATTAATGGGTTACAACAACAGATTGATCTCTTAAGTGAAGAGATGGCAATTACCAAAGACATGGCTTTGCTAGCCTGTGACCCTTGCTTTAAGTCACTTTGTCTAACCCCCTATAATGTACAAAATGTTACTGAAGCACACCTGCAACTTACGCACTATATTCACGGCCACTGGAATCAGAAGTTTCTTAATTACTCTATATTAGCTAAGTAATCAAATTATTTCTCTAAATTATACCTGCGCCCCATGCTGGACATCAATTCAGGGTTCTTAGAAAAAAAATCTGGTCTAATCTAAAAGCACTGTTTGACCTATCTTGGATCATCACTTACCTACTCCTGACAGGCATAATAATTCTTCTTTTTCTACTTCTTAAATGCCTTGTTCTTCATTCCTGCAGTCAGAAAAAATTCAATCACTCAGTGTATCAGGCCCTCAGAGCAATACATGAAGATGATTTCAACACACCCTATGCATCCCGACAGACTTAGCTTACACAGATGTAAGAGGCCTCCTATAGATAATTCCCCACCTTGACTGATCCCCTGGGATGATACTCCTTGGAGGGATGGTAGTCAATGATGGGTAAGCTCCTGTTGGGCTGAATCAACCTAAGCCAGAACATGGACGCATATGTTCATGCTCCAATGACAAGTAAGGTTCATGCTCATATAGGACAACATAAGACAGGCACAGTCCAGAATGCTGGGGTCATCCTGAGGTGCAGCTGCCTACAGGCTCTCACTGGACAGTCAATTTTAAAGAAAAAGAGTGGAAATGTAGCAGGAGGCCTCCAAAGATGGTGCGGACTCAGAGCCCTGGGATTCAGGGAGAGTTCACTTCACTTCCTGGCCCATAAATAGCCATGAATAAGAGCCTGTCAAAAGGAGCCCGCGCTTCTGTACCCTGCTCGTAAGCCTAGTGACTGCTGACACAAACAGACTGTGTAGCGTGAATGATCCAGAAAACATACACTGACTAAAGGGACTTGGGGCCAGAGAAAGGGAAATATGAGGCCTGCCCCCTCCTGCATTAAACGAGCCTGCAGCATCTTGCCTAGTACTTGCTGCTTCTACCCAACTCCCGGTGTCTGTGTGTTGACTCTGCACCTCTTGCTCCCCGCCCCCTGAATTGGCAGTGGACCCGATACAGGTCAGGGTCTTCACAGCAGGCCTGAGGAGGACCTGCAACATTCAGCCATGATGATCAGCTTTCCTCTGTCATCATTTCTGGTCAAAATGCAAGTTTCTCAGTTCTTCTATTCTGCCTTTGCTCCCGTCATCATTATAAACATAAGAAAAATCAACCAGCTGTCATCATGCTACAGCCTGACTGGAGGGCTGCCTAGCAACTTCTTCCACTAGATCAGTTAGTCTCTGACTATAAGGAAACCGAGTTTTCCAGGCAGCAGGAACTTGCTCCTATGAACTTTTAGCAATGGTGGCAGTATGCACAAAACCCTTGCAAACTCAAACCAGATAAAACCCCAGTGCAGAAGTGGGAAAATGGGTAAGAAACCCCAGCATTACCTGAGGAACTATTGGCAACGGATGTCTCCTGGAGAGGGAGAGGTGGTTTTCCTTAAGAATGTGACACTAGATAAATGGACCAGGCTCCAGTGGGTGGACTCACACTGAGAGACATTTGGGGATGCAATCCTGGCTCAAAAGGCCTTAGTATACATGACTGAATGCATGAAATCCTGTGTGGGGCTATGGACAGTGCAGGCAGAAGAAGGTTCTAAATATGATCAAGATGTGTTTTATGAAATTCATGAGAATTCATTTTAAAAAATGAAAACAAAAAAGGAAGTAGAATCAACAAAGCAAAATGACAGAGGACAATGCTGAAGTTAAGCTCTACACACTTCTGCTAGAGCAGCTGCTGTTAACCTTCATTGAAAGGATGAAAAACCTGGGGTCTGATGGTCATACATGGTGGGAATAGATTTGGCCCACTCTCAGGAAGGATGGAATGTATATACACTTTTATTTTTCCTGCTTTTTCTTATTTCATTCCATGAACACCTTTATTCTATTGGTTGGAACTATTTATATTCAACTGAAGTTTTCACAGTTACTGTTTCACAAATTATTCATTATCTGGAAAGGCCTTTACAATACGTTAGACATTTTCTTTACTAATTTCCCCACCATCTCTCAACTTACTCAAGTTGGCAACCAAGGTTATCTATCAAATTTTTATTTTCTTAGAAAATAACCATCATCACGTTATTCTCATTGCAAAAAATTTGCCAGATTGGTTACCTGTATGTTGAGATGAATAGGTGCTTATGGATTACTTCCTTTGCTCAATTATGATAACAATGAAAGGGAGATGAAAGTGGTCATTCATCAGAGGAAATATGACAGTGTAAACAAAATACAGTCATTGATTTGCTGTCTGGAAGTTGAGCACAGAAAGAGTAAGGGCAATCTCAAGCAATTGAGATATACAAGGAAACATATTCTGGAGCATCCATTAGGAACACAGACAGGAGACCATAAATAGACACAACAAAATACAGTGTCTGAAAGTGTCAGAGTATCACCAAATTCTCTGTAAACTAGGAATGCCCATCTATGTGGGACTGATTTTGCTTTTACCTGTTCTAACTTAGACCAACCCAAGACCCCGACTCACTGACCTGAGGTCAATATTTTCTAGATTCACTTGATTTCTGACATATCTGAATATGTAGTTTTTTTTAACTCACTTGTCTTTTATCTAATATCATTGAACTCTATACTTATAGCAATATACAGATTTAGAATTTGCACATATCTATTAACATTTCTTATAATTTTGGTCTTAAGTACCTTTATGAATATATGATACTTAAATATTTTGATATATTCATTTTTATTTTATGTGTATGAGTGATTTGCCTACAAACAGGTAAGTGTAGCCATTTCATGAAGTGCCCACAGAGGCAGGAGAGGGCATCAGATCTTCTGAAACTGGAATTATAGGCAGATGTTAGCAACCATGTTGGTGCTGGAAGCCAAACCCAGGTCATCTGGAAAAGCAGCCACTGCTCTTCAAACACTGAGCCATCTCTCTAAACCTGTTACACTTTTTAAATAACAGGAAAATGACTTTCTGTCAATAGAGAATTCTTTCCTAATCACAAAGAACAAAAACTTGAATAATAGTGATATCTTGTAATGCTTTCCACACCAAACTAACTTTATGCAATGGTTCTAATTAGAAGACATAAAATAAGCTCTTGGCTTGGGTCGTATGTGCCAAGGGAGAGGAATAGAAAAGTGAAGTACCTGTTTGAGTCCATTTTGTCTCCTGCTTTTCAGCATGTCCTATCCCTATATGTGTTGGATACTTTTTTCAGTATCTACTTTCTAAAAGTTATTTCTTCTTTCAGTAAGAATGTAACAAAATGCCTCCTAAAATATTGAGAATTTCATGTATAAAATGCAATGAAAATTGTATTTTTTCTGTATTAGGTTGAATAAAGCTTATATATTGCCAGTAGAAAGATCAGAGACTCAGTACCTTATATGGAAGGATCTCATGGACCTCTGTCATCTGTGACCACGATTTCTCTTATTTGGTTATAAACTTTTACTTCTTCATGAAACTAAGGTTTGAAAAAATGGCTTCTGAACAGTAACAAAGCACTTCATAATTACTAAGCTATATCTTAACCTGCTTGAGTGCCCATATAGTATATTGTATCTTATCTGTGAAGTATAGCAATCTCTTATATATCATTTCCTTATGCTATTTTCTTATTTATTTAGATGAAGTTCAGATTAAAAACTGATAGTTTTTTTTTTGAAATTTGTGAAGTTCTCACCATTTCCTGCCACTTCTTTGAATAATAGAAGGCTTAGAATTGTTGAAATGCTAATATGTGTCACTGTAAATTTATATTAGATTGAATCTAATATAGCAGGGATTCTTCAAGAATTCTTTCAGTGCACACTTTACATCTTTGTTCCCCAGGCTGTAAATTACAGGGTTTAGCATAGGTATCACAAGGGTGTAGAACACAGAGGCCATTTTGTCAGTGTCTAAGGAGTGGTTGGTCCGTGGTTGCAAATACATGAAGAGGAGTGTGCCATAGAAAACACTGACAGCCACCATGTGGGAAGCGCAGGTGGAGAAGGCTTTCTTCCTTCCTTCAGATGAGCGTATCCTCAGAATGGCGAGGATAATGTTGAAATAGGACACAAGAACTATAATCATAGAGAAAAACAAGTTTGTTGCTGAGAAGAAAAACACTACAGTTTCTGGAAGGGAGGTATCAGAACAGGAAAGTGCTAACAATGGGACGTTATCACAATAAAAGTGGTTGATGACGTTCGAAGAGCAATATGACACAGAGAACACACAAGGTGTAACGACCATGGCTGTAAGAAAGCTAAAGCAGTATGTGAGGGACACCAGCAGAAGGCAGACCCTCGGAGACACCACCACCATGTAGAGCAGAGGGTTGCAGATGGCCACGTAGCGATCGTAGGCCATCACGGCCAGCATGAAGATCTCGGCTACAATGAACACCAGGAATCCTCCCAGCTGGGTGGCACAAGCGTAGTATGAGGTGGTTTTCTTACTGACTAAGAAGTTGGCCAACATTTTAGGGGCTATGACAGTGGCATCTCCGAAGTTGATGACAGCCAGGTGTCTGAGGAAGAAGTACATTGGGGTTTGGAGTCGAGAGTTCACACATGTGAGGGTGATGATTCCCAGGTTCCCTGCTGCTGTCAGCAAATAGATAACCAGGAAAACACAGAAAAGGGGAATTTGTAGTTCTGGGTTGTCAGAGACCCCCTTGAGAATGAACTCAGTGACCTGGGTGAGATTCTCTGGAGCCATTTATATCATTATGTTCATCTTTTAATGGAAGAGAAACAAAAATATTAACAGATAATAGATTCATTTTCTTTGTTATATAATAAGTTACTAGATGTTTCATCCACTGCTATCAGATTGACAATCATTTAAACATCTCAGAGCTTGGTTACTTTACACCTCCTCTAGACATAAAGATCAAATGAAAATTCATCAGACGCTATTGAGGTTTTTTTAGAATTGTTTGAACACTTTATTATCATTGATTATATTAATTATTTTACTGTAAGGTCTTTCTTTA